CCTGAGGAAGAGATTCCCAATCTCAACCTCCTGCTTAGGACGTGAGAGTCACCCATATCCTGATGCTCCCCACAGGTGCCACCAAAATGTGACGTATTCCACCCCAAACTCAGGAAATTTATTACTTAATTTAATTCCAGATGCTCAAAAGCTCCTTCCAGGAGCTGGAAGGAGACCACAAGACAGAACCCTCCCAATTCCCTTGGGAACAAACCCCAGGAATGCTCCCCAATCCTTCAGCACAGCGACCACCACCACGTACCGAGGGTGCAGCTCCCTCCTCAGCTTGGATCCCATTCCAGAGGCTCGAGCCAAGGCCGTTCCCATCCACAGCCTCCTGCTCCAGGGAGCTTCTTGGCCACAAAGGGGACACAGAAGGGACACACACATATTTTAGGATCATGGTTTGGGTTGGAAGGGATCATGTTGTTCCAAGCTGCTTCCACAGGGAGGGACACCTTCTGCTATTCCAGGTTTTTCCATGCTTCATCCAACCTGGTCTTGGACACTTTCAGGGATAGGGCAGGCATGGCTTCTTTGGGAAAACAGCTGCCAGGGGCTCACCACCCTCCCAGGGAAGAATTCCTTCCCAATACCCAATCTAAACCTTCCATCCTTCAGCTGAAGGTGATTCCCCTTTTCCCATCACTCCATGCCCTTTATTTTTAAAAACTCCTTTTGATAATCAAAGCAACACAAGGAAAGCAGAGCTGGACATTGTGGCCTTCCCATGCACAACTCTGGGATATCCCAGATGGAAAAGCCCATTCCAAGGGCTGACCTGCTGATGATGTTCTCCTGCAGTGGCTTTTCCTTGGCTTTTGATTTTTCTTTCTTCTTCCCTTTTACCGTGGAAGGCTTCACACCAGGACAGAGCAGGATCAAGGAAAAGGAAGTTCATGCCATGAGTTTGAATCCCACTGATTTTTTTTGGGATAATTACAAGGGTCACCCCAAAGCAGAGGGAGGTGTGGTACCTTCTCTGTGCATTCCAGCTCCTTTGGCTTGTCCTGCCCATTTTCCAACTCATTCTTTCGCTTCCTGGGATAAGGAAGAATTGATCCCACTGAAACCAACCCCTTGGTAGTAACCACAAACCATGGCATGATGCCATACTTCCTAATCCTTATGCCCAGCAGCACCAAAAAATGCTTCCCAAAAGGAATTCCGGAGCAATTTCTCTGCTTGAGCATGAAACTCCCAGGAAAACCAGTGGGACAACAAAGCAGGAGCCCCTCCAAAATTCCCTGCCATGCCCCATGGTACCCACCTGCTGCTGCTCTTCACCTCGCTGGCTTTTGACACCCCCATGGCTCCGTCATTCACAATTTCTTGGGAGTGCTAAGGCAGAGAATCCCAGGATGGTCACTGGAATGAGATGGAAACAGCACAGGGTTGGTGCCACCCCAGTTTTGATCTCCAAGGAAACCCCAACAGCTCAATCCCAAAGTTTGGAGCCCACAGGGCCAAGCTCAGATTTAATGAGGACCCATGTTGAAAAAAACTTAAGCTCAGTCCCTGAACAACTGCTGGAAGTGGCAAAATAAAAGGCAATAAGAGGAAAAAAAAAGAGGAAATTCCCTAAAATAGTTCAGGAATTCACAGCTTCCACCACCACAATTAATAACAATTAGGCACAGCAGAGAAATTGGGTAAATTGAGATATTGAGTCCCCACCACCACTCCTCCCCTGTCCTCTTCTCATGGAGCAGCCAGACTCTCCTAAATCCCTGTTTTCCCTAGAAACTCAAGAGGATGCAAGGAATACAGGTCATATTCCTAGTCCCCATCCATGAAAACCCTCTACATTGAGGGAAAAACCCCCAGTATTTCTCAAAGAGTTAAGTAAAAACAGTCTGAAATACCCTGAAAAAGTTTTTGGGAGTAGAAAATACCCTGAAAAAGTTTTTGGGAGTAGAAAACACTTAGAAAAATTCCATATTTTACCAGGCTTTGCTGTGCCAAGAGCACGTGCAGCTGCAGCTGGGATGAAGCTCAGCTGGTAGAGGAGAACATTCCCAATCCCAGCCAGCCTGGAGAAGACCTCACTCCTCACCCACCTGCTTCCCTAAGGGAAGTCCCCCCTCTCCCAGGAAACTCCTTAAAAGTGTCCCTCATCCTGATTGGAGGCTCCCAGCCCAAGATGCACCCTGGGAAATGAAGTTTTAGCCCAAAAGCTGAATTTTGGGAGCGTCCCTTCCAGCAGCAACTCCTCAGCAAGGAGGCTTGGGAAGCAGGGAAATACTTTGGACCACTCAGGTGGAGAATGGGGGTGAAAATATGGATTTAAAGATAATCAGGAAAAACCTACTTGGCAGGAGGTGCTTCCTCTTCAATTACATAATTAAATTAATCCCCAAATCCAACTTTTCTCAGCTGCCTCTCATTCATCAGAGCTCCATGGTTGGATGTAGAGGAATCTGGGCACAAAGTCCAGATCCCACTGGGTCCTACTGCCCAGAACCCTCATCCTGAAACCCATCCCACTCCTCTCCAGCCCTTTTCATGGGATGAGTCCCTTGTTTCCAACCTGCCCCTGATGTCATCAAGAAACTCATCCCAGCTGAACCTCCCAATGTTGTCATCCATCCCAAACCAGGTGTGAGCAGCACACCTGGGAATGGGATGGGGGAAATTGGGATAATGGGCAAAAGCTTTCCCCGAATTAGGGGGAAAAGGAAGGATTCAGGGAGAGGTCAGAGCCCCTTCCAGGGCCTAAAGGAGCTCCAGGAGAGCTGGAGAGGGACTGGGGACAAGAGATGGAGGGACAGGACACAGGGAATGGCTTTAAACAGGAAGAGGGTCAGATTATATGGGATTTTGGGAAGGAATATTTGGCTGTGAGGGGCTGCAATGGAATTCCCAGAGAAGCTGTGGCTGCCCCATCCCTGGAAACATCCAAGGATTTGGATCAACCTCTTCTAGTGGAAGATCTCCCTGCCCTCTGCACTGGATGACCTTCCAATCACATTCCAACCCAAACCAATCCCATAATTGCAGGAAAACTCAGGGATTTGGGTCAATAAAGGGCACTGCTCCACGTGGAATCCCCAGCCAGGATGAGGAGGGGGGCACCCCGCATTCCCTTGGGAAGGTCCCGCCCGGTTCGCGGCCGGGAGCGGAAACCCCCGGAGGAAGGGCTGGATCTGGGAAAGCCTCTTTGATCCCTGTTGCGCCATCCCAGGAAAAAAACACATGCAAGCCACCTTTCTGGCTGGATGAGTGGAGGTTGTCCAGGGATGGGAGCCAGCCCCGGGGAAGGGAGCAGGGAAGGACAAATTCAAGCCGGGGCTTGTTCGCCCTTGTCCGCCTCCTTCCAAGGACAGCCTGGGTTTGGATTTCTCCCATTTTCCCTGAGTTCCATGAGATTTACTCAGCTTTCTCCTAAGTTTTCCATGTCCACTATGGGTTCTGCAGGGATGTGAGCTGGGAAAAACCTGTCCTAGCCCGGAGCAGCTCCAGTTTGCTCCTCAGTCCCACCCAAGCACAACCTGGGATGAATCCATTAAAAATTAAGCTGAGGTTCTGTGTATTTTTATGGATTTTTCCCTATGTAGATGCTCTTTGCAATAGGAAATTGAATTGGAATTAGAATGGGAGCTCCACCCAGAGCTCTGCTTGGGAAAATTGGAGCACAAAGTGGGTTTGGCTCATCCTTAGGGAAAACCAGAGTGGAATGGGATCCCTGCACTGTGTGGTGACACCACAGCAGCTGTTGGGGGATGTATCCATGAAATATTCCAGATTAATCAGTAATTCCACTTTTCTACTACAGCTGTTCCTTTTGGATTGGAAAATCCTTGAGGGAGAGAAGCCCTTCCCTGGGATCACACAACCCTGATGTGAAAAAATAACTGGGAAAGGCAGGACTGGCTTAATAAATGCAGTTATAAAATAAATCCACACCCTCTAAAATATTTAATGTGTCCTGGGCTAACATTTTCCCCCCAATAAGCAGCTGGATCCACACAGAATTCCCTGTGTCCCATTGATATGAATGGGATTCATCACTCACTAATTTCATTGTGGCCCACGTAAAAGACTCAGGGACCTTCTTGTGGTCGGCGACAAAGGTCCAGAGCAGGAATACGGGGCAGGATTTACCTGCAAAAAGGAATAAAGTGGGTTTAATTTTATTTCTTCATTATTTTTTCGTTATATTTCATATTAAACTATGGTTTAAGGGCACAGCAGCCCAAATTTTCAAGAGAGGAGGAGGGGGAGCTGGGGGAGGAGGTTGCAGGGTCAGAATGAGGGAGGAACCGCCCAGATGTGGCCAGGGGATGGTGGAGAACAGAAGTTGAGCAGCCCAGATGTGGCTGGGATGGGAACTGGGGGCTCATCCAGATGTGCCCGGGGTAGGAACATACAAGCACCCAGATGTGAGGCAGCGAGTGCGGGATAGGCCCAGACGCGGCTGGAATCGCCTGGCTGGAGTCGGGGGCCTTCCAGATGTGGTCGGGATGCGGAAGGCGCCCCTTGTTTCAGCTGGGATCCTCCAGATGTGTCCGGCCCGGGCTCGGATCCCACCCAGCTGCGGAGCCGTGAGGGGCGGCCCGACTCCAGCCGCGCCTGTGGGCGGGGCTTAGAACCCCGCCTCCCGTGACGTCACCCGCGTTCTAATTCTCACCGTTGCCACGGGCAACGGCCCCTCCGCTCCTCCCCCCCACCGCTTCTCCCAGTTCCGCGCATCTATTGGGTACCGCTACTGTCCATCAATGCTGTACGGCGCTGTCATTGGTTGCGTGGCGGTTAAGCCCCGCCCCTCCGCCCTGCTTATGCCCCGCGCTCGGCAGAGCCGCCGCGATCGCTGCGGGGCTGGCGGGGCCTGAGGGGGCACCGGGGGTGAGCGGGGGCGAGCGGGGGCACGGCCGGAGGGGCCCGGGGCACCCCAGGGTGGGGCAGGGCTGTGGAGTTGTGGTTTGGCTCTGGAAGGAGGTTTTGGAGGGGTCCCTTTTGCTGGGGCATCTTTGGGAGGGGGATTTTGGGGGTGTTTACGCTGTGAGGGGAAAGGGATTTAACCCCTCGCCCTATCTGGGGTCGCTGTATAAGGTGGGTTTGAACGCGTTGTGTTTATGGTAGTTCTGAAAAGGAGTTTTGGGAGGGTTTAAACTTCCCTCCCCCCCCATTTAGGATAATTCTAAAAGGGAGATTGGGGGGTTCGCCCCCATTTGGGGCAGCCGTGTAAAGGGGTTTTAAGAGGGTTTGGCTCCCTTCTCATTCCGGGTCTCCGTTTAAACCCTCCCCAGTTCCATTTAGAATAACTCTTTTAGGGGGAGTTTGTAAGAGTTTAAACACCCCCCTATTTAGGGGAGTTTGGGGGGGTTAAACTCCCTCTTTCCCTTATCCAGTTATCCAGGATAACTCCCTTATCCTCCTTATCCAAGCGGGTTTTGGGGGGGTTTAAACATCCCCCATTTAGGATCTGGTGGGATTTAACATCCCCCTACCTGGGGTAGCTTTACAAAAGGGGTTTGTTTCCCTTCTTTTCCCTAAATTATTTCTATTCGGAGGGAAGCTGTGGGCTCACATCTGGCCAGATGTTGAGGGCAGGGGGCTTTGCAAGAGAACAGAGCAGGGCTTAGGAGGGGTTTCAGCCCCTAATTAGGACAGGGCTGGGATCTGGACCCCGGTGGGGTCACCGAGCCCCCAAACCCCCCCTGTGAGCTCAAGCAGGAGCCCCCCAGCTCCAGCCCCCCATTCCCAGCCTGTGGATGTCACATCCCTGGAGATGATGCCCCCCGAGGAGGAGAGCCCGGATGGGGACAGGGACGGTGGCCTTGTCCTCCTGCACGGCCCGAAGAGCGGCAGCACGCGCAAGGTGAGGATGGCCCCATATCCCTGTCCCATCCACAGGGATGGCTGTGCCCATGGATGGGGACACAGGGATGTCCAACCCTGCCAGGGGTGGAAATGCTGTTGCTGCCCCATAAACAGCCCTAAGCAGCTCCCTCCCAGCTCCTCATCCCTAAAACTCTGCTCCTGAATCCCGTCTTTTCTGCTGGCTGCATCCCCAAGCTTCCCAGTGCCTGCTTTTCACCTCGTTCCCTGAGATTTTGGGGTTTTTTTCCTCTTTCTTGCCAGTGGGAAGCTGATCCAGGCAGGTGTTCCCTGGGAAATCCAGGATGTGCAGGAGAGATGGGGCTGATTGTTCTGCTGGGGTTGTTGTTTAATGACCAACATTTGGGATGGAATCAGTGGGAATTGTCCTCAGGCTGCCACCAGCCCCTGATTTCTTGGGGTCAGGGAGGATTTAGGGAGCAAGAAAACATGGAAAACATTAATTTTTAGATCTGTTTAAGTGTTTTTCCCATTAGTTTTGCCCCCTGAGATCCAACAGGATAAACCAGCAGCGAGTTCACTCCATAATCTGAGCTCTTCTCGCAAAAAGTCCCAAACCTTAAAACACCCTTAAAAAAGAAAATCCCAAATAATCAAGAAACTGAAACTCAGCCAAGCTCTGGAAGGGATTTTTTTTTTCATTTTTTTTTCCCCCTGGATCAATCTGATCTGGAGTCACTTGAGCCTGGGCTGCAGCTCAAGAGGTTGCAACCTTAAACCAGGTCGGGGTTTAACTCGGGGCCTTGTCTAACGAGCAGGTGCTGCTCGTGGGGGAAGATGAACAGGAGGGATTTGGGAATTTTTTCCCAATTTGTTCTCTTTGGGCCTGGAGCACAAAGAAAAACATGGAAAATATTGCCAAGCTTTGGAGGGAGGACTGGGCAGGGCATCAGCAGCCTCTGTCATAATATGATTATTTTTTAATTAAAGCAGCAGAACACCTGATGGGCTGTATTACTTTATTTTTGTTATTGTTATATAAAAGAAATTATCAATACAACCTTTTCCTGCTGTTTTTATCACCCTGACAACATCAGGAGCGTGGATCCATATTTTCTGCCTTGCAGGGGATCCTGAATGCTGCTGAAAAAGTGATTTTTAATCCTTTTTTTTTTTTTTTGGCCAAGTTTTCTGTCCTAGGAGTGAAGACTTAATCCACCTGTTTCCTGCTGGCACCTTGCCCTGACTCTGTGCTTCCCCCACCTCCTCAGAGCACTTTCACTGTCCTAAAATTCAATTTTCAACTGCAGTTTGTGCTGTTTAAAAACCCCCCAATCCCCCAGATTTTTATTCCCACCCCTGGGTTTATTTTTTTCCCTTCCTCTTGCTGACTGCATGAACCACCAGTGAGGCCACTTGGGAAATTTAAAACCTTAATCCTCCCCTCATTTGTTCAAAGGCTCTGTGATGTAACCATATTCTCAATAAAAGGTTTTAGAGGTTTTAGCTGCTCCTGTCTCCCACAGAAACCCAGCTCGGAGCCAGGGTGCTCCATGAGATTAATTCCATGGCAGGGAATTTCCTATCTAAATGGATTTTCAGGCAGTAAAAACCCACTTGTTGTCACTTCCTGCTTGTCTTATAACAGCTCATATTAATTTCTTAAATGCTTCTGGCTGGGAAAAAAAGGAAGGAAATTCTGGATAACCCTGGGAAAAAAAAAAGAGGAGGATTTCCAAGCCTGTTTTTGTGTGTGGAGCGCTTCCCTGGCTTTTGTTTTCCTCTCTGTCCCACGGGATAATGTGGCTAAAGCAGGGTCACTTGGCCACTTCTGCTGTGCTGGCCTGCCTCAAAAACTTGTGGATTCCACAGAGGAATAAAAATTCCAGCTGACAGCTGTGGCTCTGTGGAAATCCTTTAAAGACCAGCGGGGTTCTGGAATTAAAACAGGTGCTCAGAGTTATCCTATTCCAGCCTGGAATCATCTGTGCTTCCTGTTTGGAGGAAAAACTCTGTGTAAGGAAGTGCTGGTGCTGCTGAGAGGGCAGGGAAATAAATCCCTGATTTATTTATTTTTTTGGAGTGGGATGTAGGTGTTTAGTGGGAGAAATTTATGAGTTTGAGGTTGGAGCCACAGACCATGGGGCCATTGGATGGGGTTGGGATCATGGATTGTGGTCCAGCTTTGGGCTCCAACAGCAGAGGGACCTGGAGCTGATGGAGGAGATCCAGAGAAAGCCATGGAGATGCTCCAAGGCCTGGAGCCAGGCTGGGAGAGCTGGGAATGTCCAGCCTGGAGAAGGGAACAATCCAGGGAGACCTCAGAGCCTAAAGGGGCTCCAGGAGAGCTGGAGGGGGACTTGGGACAAGGGATGGAGGGACAGGACACAGGGAATGGCTTTGAACTGGAATAGGGTGAGATTAGATGGGATTTTGGGAAGGAATTCTTTCCTCTGAGCATGTTGAGGCTATGGAATGGAATTTCCAGAGAAGCTGTGGTTACCCCATCCCTGGAATGTCCAAGGCCAGGTTGGAAGGGGCTTGGAGCAACCTGGGATAGTGGAAGGTGTCCCTGCCCATGGCAGGGGGTGAAATTCCATGGTTTTGAAGGTCTCTTCCAACCCAAACCCTTCCATCATCCCTTCAATATCCCTTTTCCTGGCAGGAAAGGGTCTCAGTGTGTTTGCCCACACCCACAGCAGCGATCCAGACTGGCTGGAGTCCTGCTCTCCTTCATTCCCTGTCCTTGGGAACAGGAAGGTGTCTCCTGGAGGTGGGGCTGCCTGAGGAGCTGAGCTCAGCACCAGCTGATGACTCCTCTTCCCACATCATGGATGTCTCGAGTCTCCGCTCAAATTAAACTTCCTCAGTTTCTCTCTGGGCATTCCCCAGCCTCCCTAATTGGGAGGAATCCTGGTGGCGACTCCTTTGTGGCCAGAACTGGCCTTGGACATGGCCCAGCTTGGTCCAGTCTCGGGCAGCTGACCTGTGGAGCAGCTTGTGGGATCCAGCCAGGTTCTCCCGGTAACTCCAGGAGATTTTCCTGCAATTCCTGCTGGGAATTACCAACCCCTTCCTCATTTCTCTGGAGAGATCCATGTCTGGATTTTACCAGCACATTCCTGATCTGTGCCAGTTCCTCAGGAACTGAGTCTTCATCTCCATTTCTCTATTTCTTGAAACTTTTAACAGTATTTCCAAGGATCCCATTTCCTCTTCCCACATTTTACTTAATATCCTTCACTTTCAAGTTTCATTTCTTCAGGAGATTTTTCCTGCAATTCCTGCTGGAGTTGTAACTCCCAGTTACCAACCCCTTCCTCATTTCTCTGGAGGGATTTGTGCCTGGATTTCGCCAACGCATTCCTGATCTTCAGGAACTGCATCTCCATTTCTCCATTCCTTGAAATTTTAACAGGACTTCCAAGGATCCCATTTTCCCATCCCACATTTCACTTAATATCCTTCAGTTTCGTTTCTCCTCTGTTGCTTCCAGCTACAAAGAAGCAGAGACAATCCCTTTGCCATGGAATTACTGGCTTCCACATCTTCCTGCAGGTGATTCAGTTTGTCCCTGGTGCCTTGTCCTTGTCACTGAGGTCACAAATCACGCTCAGGGTGTGGCTGTCACCCAGGGCTTCATCTCCTGCGGGTGGGAAGTTCAAAGTCCACCCTGAGTAAACATTCCCTAAGGACTCCAAATTGCCACCCTGGATGGGCCCTCTGGAACTGGGAGAGGTGGCTGGAAGTGACAAAAGCCCTTGAGTCATTCCAAACATTCCCTGCAAAGATAAGGCTGGAGAATCTTTGCCCTCCCTCAAAGGGGAGCTTGATTCCTTCTGGAAAGGGTCTTAGGGAATCTTTTTTTTCCCTCATGTGGAGAGGCTGGATGAGAATTTTTGGTTCCATTGTCACTTCCATGTGAGGGATTTCCCCTGATTTTTCTGGGCCTAAAGAGCCTTTTTCCAATAAAATCATTAGATATGGGTTGGAATGGACTCGTTGGAATCAGAGAGTCCAATGTTTGTCCCTAATCCTGCTTTGTCACATGTGATAAAACATCAGGGCTGGCCACACCTCACTCATTTTCATGGATTTCTGATCCATCTTTCCCTGTGTACAAACAAAAGCGACTGTTCCATGCCTCCTCCACAATTTATGGAAGAGTTCTGTGCTCATTCTTCCTTTAAAACCTTAAAAGCAGGAGGGAAAAGTCTGAGTATCTCCAGAGCCCCTTCTTAAACTCCCCAAATTCCCTTTTCCAGGTGTCCCCAGGTGCACCCCAAAGCCTGGATGGAAGTGCCTCTCTTTCTTCTGACCTTACAGGGGTGACCTTGAGAGCTTGAGCAAGGAATTCAGTGAGGAAAATCCCTTTTGGAACCCAACAGGGGGATTTTGGTGGGATTTTTTTTTTTCCCCTTTATGTAAGTCATGTTCAAATCCCTGGAAATTCATTCTGTGGTTTTTAGTTTTCTTTGGAGCTCTGACAGGAAAAGCTTTGGGATCCTTTGAGCTGTTGGAAGGTGGAATGCTCTTCGCTTGACTCCTTATTTTCCTCATTTATATTTGGATTTAAAGATGGCCTTTTATGCTTTCCTGGAGCCAAATTTCCTCCTTGCTCCAAGATTTGTGGAATTACAACATTCCTGTGACGCTCCGGGAGCTCCTGCAGATGGGGCTGAGTTGTTCCTCATGGAATGATGTTTCTATTGATCCGTGCAAGCCAGGGATGATTTTTGGGGATTGAGGAAGAGCCTCTTGAGGGAAGATGTGCAGCAATCCTTTCCTGCAAATTCCTGCACCTTTCCAGCCTCATAAATGTAGAGGAAAACAAAATGTGTGGAGATGACAAGAAATCCTTGAATTCCTGACTTAACCTCACAAGGCTTTGGGTTTATATCAGGGGCTTCTGGTTTTCCAGCACCTTTTTGCTGCTGGCTTAGGAGCCTGGATAGGGATTGAGAACTCATCCCATTAAATCTGATGGAGAAGCCAGGAAAAAAACCCCTGAGCTCTGCAAACAGCTTTAGTGCTTCCCAGCAGGAGAAGTCAGATCAATTTGTAAATCTTTTCATGGCTCCTGCAGGGAAGAGGTTTTAACCCCTCTTGGAATATCTTGGGGAGCCATCCCAGTGTCTTCTGCATCCCACTCCTTTCTTTCCTTCATTACCTTCCTGCTTTCCCTCCAGGCAAAAATCTTTATTTTGGGTTTGGATAATCCTCCTACTTGTGCCTTTTCCATCGTCCCACCTGCACTTCCCAGGCCTCTTCCCTGCGTCTCCAGGTGGTTTTTGCTCCTTTTCCCCACAAAAATTCCCTTAAAATCCTCTGGCTGCTTCTAAATAAATCTTTGCCAGAGTTGGAAAGGACTCCAGGGTGCTGGCATTTGCCGGAAGAGATGGAGTCAGAGAAGAGAAACTTCCCACCTCTAGAGCTTTGCATGGATTTCTGTGGCTCTGGAGACACAGAGAGGGAACCTGGAACTGTCTCATGTGGGTATATTTGCATGTGTTTGTCTCTGGGTCTGTCATGCTCTGAGATTTCATCTTGAAATTTGAAATTAAACCTTGAAATTTTAATGAGCACCTTCTCTTTACATCTTGTCTTGATTTCCTGATCCTTTCCCCTTTTTCCTCTGGTTCCTAGATCTCCTTTTTCCTTTTTTCCCCTAGGGATCCAACAAGATGGATGGATTCCCCCCAGGACAAATCCAGAAATTACAATTCTGGATCAGACTTTCCTCTGTGTGTTCCTGAGTATCTCAGACCCAATATTTATGGAGGTGTTGGGGTGTTTTCCTCAAATCCCACTGCTTTTCCAGAATAATTGGGGTCTTTTGCTTACAGTTTGTTCCTTTCATCAAGTTCATGGATCACTGTAAAGCATTAATCCCACAGATTTATGGACCAGCTGGAGTCACTCTGATTCCTCAGTCTCCAAGGGACCAATTAGAAGATCCAATCTTTCCCTTAAATGAAAATCCCACTGTTAATCCCAGACCGTTTTCCAAAGGAAGCAGTGCTCGGTGGACTTCAAACACGAGGAATTAATTTTAAGGAAGCTGAAGTCCATGGAAATGCAAAAATTTCTTCCTTGTCAGGTCCCATTGGAGAGGTGATCAGGCATTTAATGGAATTATGAAATGGTTTATGATGGAAGGGGCATTAAAGATCATCTCATTCCATGGGCAGGCACACCTCTCACTGTCCCAGATTGCTCCAAGCCCCATCCAGCCTGGCCTGGAACACTTCCAGGGGCATCCACAACTTCTTTGGGAAACCTGTGCCAGGTTGGTATGAGATGATCCTAAAAGTGTCTTTCAACCCAAACCATTCCATGATTTTGGGATCTTCCTGTGATTTTCAGGCTCAGAACTCCCCATACTCTTAAACTTCCCAGCTTTGTGCCTTCCCAACCAGGCATTTTTTTATCCAGGGATCTTCCAGAGGCTCATCCCTCTAAATCTTCAGTGGGAATCATCCCCACTTGGGCAGAGCTTTTATAGCCCTGGATTTGGGGACACCCCATTCCCTGATGCATCCCATAATAACCCTGTGAGCCAGAGGTAAATCAGGCGGCTGCTATTTCCTGAAGTCGGGAATCCAGCCTGTCTTCCCCGTCTGCAGAAATTCCGAGCCGGAGCCACGGAAAGGATGGAATCAATTTAGCGCCGTGAGCCCCTCGTTCCTGCATCCCCCTGAACTCCTGACTCCCTGTGCTCCACATCCTGGAGATGGCCTTGGGATCACATTACTTCCTGAGCTTTGAGGCCCTATTGAGCTCATCTCCAGCCCCCCTGGGTCTTGGCTCATGTCCAGAGTCTGGGAATGGAATGTGGAGTTTCTGTTCAGGGCTGAGTTTGGGAAGAGCTCAGGGAAAGAAATCCCTGCTGGCAACACGTGGGATTAGGGAATAAAATGGTTATTCCAAGGGCAGGGGAAGTCTGGGGGATGAGAAACTCAATGTGACCCGGCCACGTGTGCTCACACCCCAAAAATTCCCCCTGTCCCAGGCTCATCCCACAGTGTGGGCAGCAGGAAAAGGGGAATTCTGCCCCTCTGCCCTGCTCAGGTGCAGAAACCACACCTGGAATTCTGCATCCAGCTCTGGGGACCAACTGCAGAGGGATGTGGAGCTGGTGGAGCAATTCCAGAGGAAGCCATGGAGATGCTCCAAGGGCTGGAGCCAGGCTGGGAGAGCTGGGAATGTCCAGCCTGGAGAAGGGAAGGATCCAGGGAGACCTCAGAGCTCCTTCCAGAGCCTGAAGGCGTTCCAGGAGAGCTGGAGAGGGACTTGGGACAAGGGATGGAGTGACAGGACCCAGGGAATGGCTTTGAACTGGATTAGGGTGAAATTAGATGAAATGTTGGGAAGCAATTCTTCCTTGTGAGGGTGGTGTGGCTCTGGAGTGGAATTCCAAGAGAAGCTGTGTCTGCCCCATCCCTGGAAGTGCCCCAGGTGAGGTTGGAGCAACCTGGGATAGAGGAAGGTGTCCCTGTCCACGATAAGGGATGAAATTCAATGATCTTTAAACTCCCTCCCAACCTAAAGCATCCCGTGACTCTGGGCTCTGAAAGTGCTTGATTTATGGAATTGATGGGATTTTTTTGAATCCCAAAATGTTAATTTGGGATGTCCTTGTCTCTCAGCAGGGCTGTGACCCCTTTGCCCAGACCCAGCGCAGCAAACTCCAGCACCGCCGGGCCCGGATCAACCAACAGATCAACAAGGAAATGAGGATGAGAGCGGGAGCAGAAAACCTCTTCCGGTGAGTCCTGACCCCCTGGGCATCCCCCTGGCTCTGGAGTTTGGATGGGGGCAGGAATAGAGTCTTGATATCCAAAATTATGCTGGTGGAAGATTGTTAAAAATCAGGTTGGGAGCAGATGGGATAATGGGAATAAATTTGTGACTGAGGTTGGGCTTGGAATGCAGAGCTCTGGTCTGAAAACCCAGTGAGTGGATCTGAGGGATATGGAGTTGTTGGAGTGAGTCCAGATATTCCAAGGGATGGAGCCCTTCTGCTCTGGAACCAGGATGGGAACTGGGAATGTCCAGCCTGAAAAAGAAAAGGCTCCAGGGAGACCTCAGAGCCCCCTCCTGTTCCTAAAGGAGCTCCAGGAGAGCTGGAGAGGGACTTAGGACAAGGGGTGGAGAGACAGGACACAGGGAATGGCTTCCCACTGCCAGAGGGCGGGGATAGATGGGATTTGGGAAGGAATTCTTCCCTGGGAGGGTGGTGAGGCCCTGGACTGGAATTCCCAGAGAATCTGTGGCTGCCCCATCCCTGGAAGTGTCCAAGGCCAAGTTGGAAGGGGATTGGAGCAGATGGGATAATGGGAATAAATTTGTGGCTGAGGTGGGGCTTGGAATGCAGAGTTTTGGTCTGAAAACCCAAGGCATCTGAAGCTCTTGGTGTGAGTCCAGATGTTCCAAGGGATGGAGCCCCTCTACTCTAGAACCAGGATGGGAACTGGGAATGTCCAGCCTGGAAAAGAAAAGGCTCCAGGGAGACCTCAGAGCCCCTTCCAGAGCCTAAAGGGGCTCCAGGAGAGCTGGAGAGGGACTTGGGACAAAGGGTAGAGGGACAGGACACAGGGAATGGCTTCCCACTGCCAGAGGGCGGGGATGGGTGGGGTACTGGGAAGGAATTCTTGTCTGTGAGAGTGGTGAGGAGCTGGAATGGAATTCCCAGAGAAGCTGTGGCTGCCCCATCCCTGGAATTGTCCAGGCCAGGTTGGATGGGGCTTGGACAAACCTGGGATAGGGAAAAGTCCCTGCCCAAGGCAGGGGGTGGAACTTGAGGTTTCTGAAGATCCACCCCAAACCATTCCATGAAATCCAGCTTTAGAATCATAAATAGCTCAGAAAATCCCATCAGGATTGAGTCCAACCATTCCCCCAGCACTGCCAAGGCCACCACTTGTCCCCAAGTGCCACATCCACAGGGATTTTATCCCAAGGACAACTTTTTTTAGCATGTTTTGTGTTTATTTCATTTTTCCTTAATATTTGGAGCACATTCCAGGCTGGGCAGGTCATTAATATTAAAAATCCCATAAATCTGCCTTAAAATACAATTTTTGGGGAATATTTTACTAACTTGTTGATTGTTTTTATCCCAAATAAAATAAAATAAAATAAAATAAACTTTCCACTTTGGAACTGGAGTGATTTAGCATCAATGGAGTGTTCCTGGAAGAAGGGGATAATGGTTAAGCCATAAAAAATTGGTGTTTTCCTGGGGGAGGAGATCCCACTGCTCCGTCCACACTGCTGAGCCTCATTTAATTAAAGAAAAAAAGCCAGAGAACCCAACTTCTACCTCTCCTGTGTTATATTAAAAAAAACCAAAACCAAACAAACAACAGAGGGAAATGTGCTGGCTCAGCAGAAATCTGCCTGGTTTGGGTTGGAATCGGAGCTGTGGGAAGTGGGAGTGAGGAAAAACGGGATGCAAAACACATCTTGATTATCAGGGAAATGCACTGAGGGGGCTCTTTTTGTGCTGGCTCAGCACTCTGGGTGTCCTTTGGAGCAGCCACTTTCCCTCCCTTCCGCCCTCCCACAAATCCAGCTGAGTAATAAAGTCGATTTCTCGGCATTCCGGTGCTCCGAGCTTATGAAACTTTGGAAAAAGGAATAATCAAGCTTGAAATTAAAGGATGAGGAGGAGGGAGGGATTATGTTGCAAGTCTAAAGGTTATTGCTTCAAAATTAAAGATTTGTGGTGCATGGATAAAATTCCTTTGGATCTTTAGCCTGGTGCTGGTGGAAAAAACTGTGGATTGTCCAGCCTGGAGCAGTTTGGAGCTGAATTTACTGGGATTTTGCCTTTAAATTTAAAAACAAACTAGTCTGATCCTTGGTAAAAACAATCCTGTTCAGCCTTTCCATGTTTTTTCCTGGAAAAGTTGGCAGGAATGGGGTGTTGGGAAAAAAAAATCCATGCAGTATTTGCTCAGTGGATTTGTTTGCTGGGTAAATAAATGGGAAGAGCCAGAGGAAACCTTTTCCTTCCTGTTCAAACACTGGGATGGAGTGGAGGAACGGAGGAGATAAAAATGCCCAGGTTTTTGGAACGAAAGAAAAATAAATCACAAAATAAATTCCAGCAATTCCCTGTGTCCTGGGTTCATCCCACAGCATGGGCAGCAGGAAAAGGGGAATTCTGCCCCTCTGCCCTGCTCAGGTGAGATCCCACCAGGAATTCTGCATCCAGCTCTGGGGACCAACTGCAGGAGGACCTGGAGTTGCAGGAGCAGGTCCAGAGGAAGCCACGGAGATGCTCCAAGGGCTGGAGCCAGGCTGGGAGAGCTGGGAATGTCCAGCCAGGAGAAGGCTCCAGGGAGACCTCAGAGCCCCTTCCAGTGCCTAAAAGGGCTCCAGGAGAGCTGGAGAGGGACTTGGGACAAGGGATGGAGGGACAGGACACAGGGAATGGCTTCCCACTGTCAGAGGGCGGGGATAGATGTGATATTGAGAAGGAATTATTCCCTTTGAGTGTGATCAGGTGCTGGAATGGAATTTCCAGAGTAGCTGTGGCTGCCCCATCCCTGGAAGTGTCCAGGGCCAGGTTGGACAGGGCTTGGAGCAACCTGGAATAATGGAAGGTGTCCCTGCTTGTGGCAAAAGGGTGAAATTCCATGATTTTTAATGTCTCTTCCAACCCAACCCGTTCCAGGATTTTCTGCGGTGTGTGGCACTTGCAAGTACTCCAGGAAAACCTTTTAACAGATTCCTGACAAAATCATGGAGCAGATCCTCCTGGAAACTGTGCTAAGACACCTGGAAAATAATCAGAGGCCTGCTGAGAGCCAAAAAAAAAATGTTGGCAGCTGGGAACAAGGAGGGAAAACTCTCCTTAATCCATATGGGATGAAAATCGGACTGACGGTGTCCTGGAGGTGTTGGGATGTGGGGGGGATAAATAGGAATTAAGTCTTGGTTTATATGAATTAAATACTGGTTTTTGTGGGAACATAGGGTGATGGTGCCTGGGGAATTGCAGGAATGCTGAAGCATTTTTCATTCAGAGAGCCACGGGGATCTTTGGATGTGGTTTGGTTTGGTTTGGTTTGGTTTGGTTTGTTTGGAATCAAAAAATTCGTTGGTCTTGGAAAATCCTGGCAAAGGATAGGCAGGAGGAGGCTCTGAACCACCAGATTGTCAAAGGAAAACCCTGCAGCTCCTTCTGCTGCCTTGAAGCAGGGCAGGGCAGCACCCAGAAGGATTTAATCCATAAAAAATCCATGTCAAAGGCAATGCTCTGGAAAAGCAGGAGGGAAGCAGTTTCCTGGTGGAGCAGAGCTTGTCCATTTGTTGTTTTCCCTGGATCCCAGCGTGGTTCAGCAGCCAGAGCCCCTTTCAGCTCTGGGTTATCTCTCCCTGCTTTCCTCTGCAGGAGATAAGCAGGGAATAATCAGCCTGGGAGCTTGTCCTGCTCCCAGGGAACAGCTGGAATCAATCCCTGGTGTTTACAGCTCCTGCTGGGAGCCGGGAAGGGAGGGCAGGAGCTCACAAAATCCTTTATTTTCCAAAAGGATTCTTTGCACACAAAAATGAGTTTTTCCTCCTCAAATCCCATCGTTTATTTGGGATGGGGGAGCACCTGGACTGGTCACAGCCCAAGCTGGAATTGCACTGGAGGTGAAACAGCAATGGGCAAAGGGAAGGTGGCTCTGGAGCAGGAATTCCTGGATGCAGCACTGCAATGAGTTTTCCCTGGGCTCAGCCTCTACCTGGATGTTTGGACTTTCCTAATCCTGAAATTCTAGGAGAGCTGGGAATCTAGTCTGGAGAAGAGAAGATTCTATGGACACCTCAGAGCTCCTTCCAGTGCCTAAAGCGGCCCCAGGAGAGCTGGAGAGGGACTTGGGAAAAGGAATGGAGTGACAGGACATAAGGAATGGCTTCCCACTGCCAGAGGGCAGGGATAGATGGAATATTGGGAAGAAATCCTTCCCTGTGAGGGTGGTGAGTCCCTGGAACAGAATTCCCAGAGAAGCTGTGGCTGCCCCATCCCTGGATGTGTCCAAGGCCAGGTTGGATGGGGCTTGGAGCAACCTGGGACAGTGGAAGGTGCCCCATGGCAGGGGATGGAATGGGATGACCCTCAGAGGTCCCATCCCACCCAAACTTTTCCAGCATCACCTGGAGAACCAGAGGCACAATCCCATGGGAATGTTGGGCTAGACATGGATTGCACCACGGGGTAACTGAGTCTGGAGTGGAAAAAATAAATTCATGGGTAAAAAGAGGGAAATTTGATCCATTGGTTTCTTGCAGGGCCACCAGCAACCACAAGGTGAAGGAAACAGTGGCTCTGGAGCTGAGCTACGTCAACTCCAACCTTCAGCTCCTGAAGGAAGAGCTGGAAGAGCTCAACAGCAGCATGGATGTGTATCAGAATGAGAGGTGGGTCTGGGAAGAGCAGCCTGTTCCCTTGGGATTTCATTTTTCCCTCTGTTAGGGAATTTTTATGAAAGCAAGGCTGCTCTCGCCTTGTCCGCCCTGCTCTGTCCCATGGCCAAGCGTTGGGATGACCTTCAGAGGTTCCCTTCCAACCCAAACCTTTCCATGGTCAGGGACAACAAGGTGGTGGCTGGAGGAATAGGGGAGGATTTGGGCATGTGCCAGAATTCCTGGAAAATTTTCATTCTGGGAATCACAGTGATTCCCTTCTAAAGCTGCAAGGAGAGAAAAATCAGCTTTTCCCAGGGGATACTGGGGTGTTTTGGGATAGATGGAGCATCCTTTGGACACTGATGTCCCAAAGCAGGAGGAATAGGGAAGAAAGAACCATCTTCCCTTGTATTGATCCCCTTTCCTGACAATCCCACCGGAGCTCTTCCCAACAGGATATTTTGGTGATGGGAATCACCATGCCTGGAAGTGGCCAAGGAATGACAGGATGTGGCACTCGGTGCTCTGGGCTGGGTGGGATCAGTCACAGGTGGGACTCGATGATCTTGTAGGTCTTTTCCAGCCCAAACAATTCTGGGATGCCGGGATTCTTTTCCTCCTTTTCCCTTCCTGAGGTGGACTGTGTTGGATGGCAGCGTGAGGTGTTGTGTGGGTGATGTGGCTGAGGGATGGGATGGGATGGGATGGGATCCAGAGGGACCTGGATAAGCTCCAGAAGAACCTCATTAGGTTCAACAAAGCCAAGTGCAACATCCTGCACCTGGGATGGAGCAATTCCAAGCGCAAATCCAGGCTGGGGAGGTGGAGGGATGGAGAGCAGCCCTTAGGAGGAGGATTTGGGAGTGTTGGTAGGTGAAAAGCTGGAAATGCCTCATCCACATGTGCTCACATCCCAAAAATTCCCCCTGTCCCAGGCTCATCCCACAGGGTGGAAAATGGGGATCCTGCTCCTCTGCCCCGCTCAGGTGAGACCTCACCTGGAATTCTGCATCCAGCTCTGGGCTCCAACAGCAGGAGCAGATCCAGAGGAGGCCACGGAGATGCTCCAAGGGCTGGAGCCCCTCTGCTCTGGAGCCAGGCTGGGAGACCTGGGAATGTCCAGCCTGGAGAAGGGAAGGATCCAGGGAGAGCTCAGAGCCCCTTCCAGTGCCTGAAGGGGCTCCAGGAGAGCTGGAGAGGGACTTGGGACAAGGGATGGAGGGACAGGACACAGGGAATGGCTTTAAACTGGAATAGGGTGAAATTAGATGGGATATTGGAAAGGAAATCTTGGCTGTGAGGGTGGTGAGGCCCTGGACTGGAATTCCCGGAGAAGCTGTGGCTCCCTGATCCCTGGAAGTGTCCAAGGCCAGGTTGGATGGGGATTGGAGCAGCCTGATCCTGTGGAAGTTGTCCCTATCCATGGCAGTGGGTGAGAATGGATGATCTTTAAAGCCCCTTCCAACCCAACCCATTCCCCAGTTCCACAATTCCACGTTTCTGTGTCCATCCACATCCTTTTCCAGGCACATTCCCTATCAAGGCTGCTCAGTTTTCCCAATTTGCCACTTGCTTGCCCTGGTTTGAAAAGAAATCAGGAGCAGCAACAACAATCCCAAACCCTGCCCAGGCCAAACAAACCCCCCTTTGTTTATTCCAGACATTGGATTCCAGTGGAATTCTCGTTAGGAAATGAGCAGTAATGGCTTTCTGCACTAATTATAGCTCCTGGAGCTGTTTGTTCCAAGGAAAATGTGGATGCTAATTCCCTGCGTTGCTCTCCTGGTTTTCATAACTTCCTTTGCTTGTTTTCCTCCCCAATTAATGATTGATTAATGAGTTACCAGCAATCTGGGGGGATAATGAGAGGGGGCTGTTGTGTTGGTGAGGGCTTGATCCTGTCTTGCCCACCCAACATCCAGGATTCCTCTGAACATCAGGAGCTGTAAAAATGATTTTGGGGGTTTTTTTTAGCTCTTTGTCTCCTATGCTGCCATTCCCAAATCTTTTTGGGAAGAGCATTTTTCCATGTGGAGTCTGTTAATAGGAGCAGCACCAGCCCAGGGCAAGGAGCTGCTTCCTTTTAATCTCCAACCCACAGGATCCATCCAAGATTTTTAATCCAACCACCAAACAGGTTCTTGTCTTCTTCCAGTGAATCCATCAGCGTTCCCATGATCCCCCTGGGACTCAAGGAGACCAAGGAGCTGGATTTGCTGGTACCACTCAAGGTGAGCTTTGGGGTTTCATTGATCAGTGCTGAAGCAGCTGAAATTATTTTCCTCATTTGGAAAAGCTACCAAAAAAATAAATTCATGGGAAGGATCTGGACTTAAAACATGGGAAAGTGGGAGGTGAAGGTCTGGAGATGTTGAAGAGCAGGAAAGGGAGGAGATTATTACTTAGTGGAGGTTTTCTTGTGGGCAGAAGTGGAAAATTCTTGCACAAAATTGCCAGAAATATCCCTTTAAATAATAAAAATCAGGATTTTCTTCTGTTTCCCAATCCAGGATTTCATCAGTGAACACTATGGAGAGGAGGGTGTCCTGTATGAAAAGGAAATCAAGGAATTCATGGAGCTGCGACAGGTGGGTGTCCCTTGGAGATTCCATAATATTATTGGACTTGGTGTATAGGTTCCATAGTATTATAGATTATTCAGGAATTGTTCATTTTTCCCTGTCCTCAATGCCCTGCTGACCTACAAATGAGCAGCAATGAAATTTATAGTACAATCATTATTTATGGATATTAATTCACCCCTGGCAAGGCTGAACAACTTCTCTCTCTCCAGGTAGGCCTTGGAGAAGAGGGAATTTAAAGCAGTCTGGGAAAGGAGGGGAAAAAATCCTGTTTATTCCCTAGGATTTATAAAATCAGAATTTCCATGAATTTTTCCAGCACAACTCCCAGGCTGCTGCTTCCACATTTGAGTGTCCCAGCTCCCAGACTTTCCCCGTGATTGAAACTCACAATCATGGAATAGTTTGGGTTGGAAAGGCTCTTAAAGATCTTCCAATCCCAACCCATGGGCAGGGACACCTTCCACTGTCCCAGGCTGCTCCAAGCCCCATCCAACCCAGCCTTGGACACTTCCAGGGATGGGGCAGCCACAGCTTCTCTGGGAATTCCATTCCAGAGCCTCACCACCTTCACAGGGAAGAATTCCTCCCCAATATCTGAGTTATCCCTGCCCCCTGGCAGTGGGAAGCCATTCCCTGTGTCCTGTCCCTCTGTCCCTCTTTTCCCATCCCTGTCTCCTCTCCCGTTCCCGCAGGCCATGCGCACCCCGAGCCGCAACGAGGCCGGATTGGAGCTCCTGATGGAATATTACAACCAGCTCTACTTCCTTGACAGCCGGTTCTTCCCTCCCTCCAAAACCCTGGGCGTCTTCTTCCACTGGTGGGTGCAGCTTTCCCTGTCCCATCTGGGTGGGGTGGGAGTCAGGATCCAAATTTCCATTTTGGAATCTCTGCCAGAGCTGGTGGACACCAGGATCTGGATTTGCTGTTGCCCTTGGTGGGTTAACCTGGGGAGGGAGAGGGAAACACAAATCCCATGGGATGTACCATGATGGGAATGATGTCTGCAAGCCCACCTGAGCACTGAAAACCCTTCAGGCTCCTCCTGCATCCATGGGAATCATGGAGTGGTTTAGGTTGGAAAGGGCCCACAAGATCATCCAGTTCCAACCCCTTCCATGAGTGAGGACACTTTGTGTGGACCATGACAGGGACAGGAATCAGGGATGGGCTCAGGGATGATCCCAGTCAGGGATGCACCAGGATCTGAAGTTAAGGACAGGATTTGTCCTGAACACAGCTTTTTTTCCCTCTTTCCTGCCTTCCTTTGCTCCAGTGTGGAAGCAGGACTGGGAATGAAGAGCCCTGGGATTTCCCCACCTGGAGGTCACTGACAGGGAGACAAATGAGACAGGGAATCATGGAATGGTTTGGGTTGGATGGGACCTGCAAGACCGTCCAATTCCAACCCCTTCCCTTGGGGAGGGACACTTCTGCTTGGCTGCATGTGGGGACCATGACCAGGGGATGGGCAGCTGTTGGCTCTTCCCTTCTCCAGGTACGACTCCCTGACGGGGGTCCCATCCCACCAGAGGGCTCTGGCCTTCGAGAAGGGAAGTGTCCTCTTCAACCTGGGAGCGCTGCACACCCAGATCGGAGCGCGGCAGGACCGCGCCTCCCTGCCCGGCCTCAACCAGGCCATCGATGCCTTCCAGAAGGCAGCTGGTGAGTGCCTTCCCCTCTTCCTCCTCTTCCCAAGGGTGGGAATGATCCACAGAAGCTCAGGAGGAGGTGGGAGCAGTTGTAGGAAGAGGCGTCTCCAAGGGATCACAAATGGAGCGCGAGGTGGCTCCACGTTGGTTGTGTTGGTGGGGAAGAGGAGTTGGGATGGTCCAACAGCCAAAAATGATGTCCCCCAAAAGGATGGCATGCAAAAGGGTGTCCCAGCTGTGGAGAGGAGATACTTATCCATCTCCCCATAGAAAAAATGGAGCCTGGAATTGGGATAACCCAGGGCTTTGGAGAAGGAATTGGGCACAAGGATGATTTAGATGGCAAGGGTGGGACCTCAGATCTTACCCACCACTGATGGTGAGACATTTGGTGTTCGTGGAGGGAAACCTGCCTTATCCCAAAGTTTGATTCTCTTCCTCACAAGTCTGGTAACTTCCAGGAGCTTTTTTCTTCCTCTAGGTGCCTTTAACTACTTGAAGGAAAACTTCTCCAACGCTCCCAGCCTGGACATGAGCGCGGCCTCCCTGACCATGCTGGTGAGGCTGATGGTGGCCCAGGTCCAGGAGTGTGTCTTTGAGAAGATGACCTTGCTGCGTGCCCAGAACGACTTCCTGGCCCGCCTGCAGCTGGCTCAGGAGGCAGCAAGGGTGAGGATTTTGGGAGGGAGAGGATTTGGTGGGATTTTGTGGTTGGCAGGACCTTCCCAGAGAGTACAACCTGCATCCCATCTCTTCTGCCTCTCCTCTTCCCAGGTGGAAGATGTTTATTCCCTGGTACACCAGACCATGAGCCAGCCCCACGTCAAGGACTACGTTCCCTTCTCCTGGACCACCATGGTCCAAGTCAAGTCGGAGCATTTCAAAGCCCTCTCCCATTATTTTGCTGCCATCGCCCTCTGTGACTGCCCCGGTGAGTGTCCAGCCTGATGGGAGCTTCCTGCTCATCCAACTACTAATTCTACTTTATTCCTGGGTTTTGGGGAGGGTTTCCCAAAAAAAAAGATGTTATGGATACGACACCCAAAGTTTTTTGAATGCTCTGAGCTGTGGATATTCTTAGTGGACTCAGCAATTCGTCCCCAAGGCAGATTTTTCCATATTTCTGGTTTCCACAGAGAAAAATCCTTAAAAAGGGGAGGAAAAAGCTGCTGGAGGGATGTCACCTGCTGTCCCCTTTGGGGCTGGGTGGGGGAATAAGGGTCACCTACCTGCCTGCTTTGGGTCACCTTGTGTTAGACCAGCTGAGGGCTTCAAAAATCCAAAAATAAATCCAAAAATACCTTGGATTTAACTTCCAGCCTCATGGATGGATGTCCTGGGAATCTCAGGGTGGTGGCAGCAAGGTACACATGGTTCCATGGAGTCACTTGGAGCGTGACTTCAAGATGTGACCCTTGATCCCCATCTCTGCCACCTCCAACACCCTGGGAGCAATTTTGGGATGGAGCAGAGGATCCGGGGGTGGGCAGCAGATGCTCCTGGTGGCCTTTGGTGTCACCTGGTGGGTGGCTGGGAAGATTTTTGAGGGCTGGCTGCCAAAACCAGTGCTGGGACCAGTGGCTGCCAGACTGTCCTCACACCCTCCCCCGCTCCAGAGCCTGCCCAAAATCTTCCTTGTGCCACGTGGGCGTTGCAGAAGCTGGGCTGAGCAAGGAGATGGGAGAGAGGGGGATAATGTGGAGCTGGAAGGGCTTAAAGATCCAAACAGGAGAGGATGATGATGGAGATGGGATTCCATGAGATACCAAGGGGCAGGGCAAACCTTCCCCCTAAAATTTTTGGTGTCCTTAGGCACTGTGGGAAGCAGAAATCAGCAGGAGATGCCTAATTTAGGAATTTTTTTGCTTGCTGTTGGGATCTCATGTTCCTGCTCCCACCTCTCCCTTGTCAGAATAACAAATCTTCTGCTTCCATAACCAGCTGGGAATAAATTCCTTACGCTGCAGTTTCATCCCTCAGGGATGCTGACATGGCAGGAGCTGGCACAGGGAGAGCCAGCCCTGGAGCTGCCAGTTCCCAACCCTCTGCATCCCTCTGCCCACCAGGCTTTGAGATCCTCTGTTTGGAGCAACAAAACTCCCAGGAATATTCTGGATTGTTTCTTATCCCAATCTGTGTCCAGGGAAAGAGGCTGCTGTGCAGCCAAAGAGGATTAGGATGAATTTGGGCTAGAAAAAATGGTTTAAAGAGTGGGATTTAAAGTGTGGAGTTTGGAGAGCCTGGGAGAGCTGCATCCATCTCTATTTTTCCATGGAATGACCTCCTTGGTTGCACTGTGAGATGGAGAAAAGGCTCCAGGGAGACTTTAAAGCCCCTTCCAGTGCTTCACAGAGCTCCTGGAGAGCTGGAAAGGGATTTGGGACAAGGGATGGAGTGCCAGAACACAGGGAATGGCTTCCTGCTGCCAGAGGGCAGGAATAGATGGGATACTGGGGAGGAGTTCTTTCCTGGGAGGGTGGTGAGGCCCTGGACTGGAATTCCCAGAGAAGCTGTGGCTGCCCCATCCCTGGAATTATCCTGGGCCAGAATGGCTGGAGCTTGCAGCCAAATGGAAGTGTCCCTCCTTGTGGAAAGAGGTTGGAATTGGATGATCTTTAACAGCCTTTCCAACCCAAACCATTCCATGATTCCCTGATTTTGTTGTCTCATTTGTCTCCCTGTCATTGACCTCCCAGGGCTCTCCATTCCCAGTCCTTCTTCCACACTGGAGCAAAGGCAGGCAGGAAAGACGAAAAAAAGCTGTGTTCAGGACAAATCCTGCCCTTAACTTCACATCCTGGTGCATCCCTGACTGGGATCATCCCTGGGCCCATCCCTGATTCCTTGCAGGCTGTGGTTGGATGACAGGAAGGTGCTGCCAGGGCCACCTGAATGTGGATGTGACCTCCTTGTCCCCACTGCCACGAGGGGCTGGGTGGCCCTGACCTCTCCCTAATCCCATCCCCATCCATTTCCTTCCCACAGCTCCCTCGGATGCCGAGCTGCTGGAGCAGGAGAAGGCTTTCCTGCAATTCCATGTCACCATGCCAGAGGGGCCATCACTGCGTGTCCTGCTGCAGGATCCCGAGGAGAGGAGGAAGCTGGGTGAGCACAAATTCCTGGATCCCATCCTGATTCCCACAAATTATGAGGTTTTAGGGGGATCTCTCCATGCAGAGAGGAATTTCTCAGGAGATTTCTTCTCCTGGGAAGCAGGAAAGCATCACAGTCCCCTTGAGGGTGTGAGGACCAACTCGTGGTGCTTGTCCCAACCTGTCCAGCTCTGACAGGAAAAATTCCAGGTATTCCAAACCAGGTAACATCACCCAACAGTACAGAGAAATCCACAGGGACACAGAGATCCTGGAAGCTCCTTGGTTTGGGCTGACTTGGCTGGAAAACAAGACGCAGCAGATGCTCAGGGGGTGGCTTTTTCAGCTGCAGCGAATTCTTGGGAGACAAGAACTTCTTCCCATGCGGGATTTCAGCTCCAGGGAAAAAACAGACGCTGCTTATTCAGCTGAAGTCATGTTTTGGCAGCCCCTCCTCAACAGGGCTGCACCAAGAGCAAACTCAGCACTCGGAATTTGGGGTGTTGCCTCCCCCGGGAGCTCTCTTTTCCCTCCTTGCACACGTGTGGAAGGAGGCCGATCCCACCAGGAATGAGTTTGGCCTCAGCAAAATCCTTCAGGATGCTCAGCCAGGTTTTCACTGGAAACCTCCAAATAAACCCCAAAATCCAAGTGGTTTGTGGTGACAGCACCCCAACACCCTCAGATGTGGTTTGCATCAGCTTTTCCAGCTCTGCCTGATTTTCCTGGGGAAAACAGGCTCTGTTCAACCCTCCTGGTAAAAAATACATGTGCAGACACCAAGCTCAGCTTGGATCTGGTTTACAGGAAGGGAAAAACTCAGAGAGGTTGTGGATCTCCATCCCTGGAGGGGTCCAAGATCAGGTCACAAAGAGCTTGGAGCAACCTGAAATGGTGGAAGGGAGATGAGGGAATGTCCCTCCCTATGGAAGGGGGGTTGGAATGATATGAGCTTTAAGTTCTTTTCCAACCCAAACCATTCCATGATTCTATTATTATTATTACTCATTATTTCACAATTTATAGATTTCACAATTTCATAAATTAGCTTTCATAATTTCATAATTTCACAATTTATATATTTTATAAAAATTCTCAGTGGGGGGGATCTCCTCTATGTTTTCCATCCAAGCCCAAAACATTCCCTCGGCATTTAAGTTCCTCTGGCTGTGCATTCCGGGAGTCTGGAGCAGCCCTCATCTCCCTGGATTCTGTTGCCACCGTGTGTCCTGAACGTGAAATGCCACAGGCACACGTGTTTCCATGAGACACACACGGAGAGAGCTTTTCTGGGAGTTTAGCCTTGGATACGGCTGCCTTGGTTGCAGTTTCCCATGGAGGAGATGCTTTGCGTTGATATCCGTGGGTCACTGGAATTCCAGCTCCTCTTTCCCGACCACTTCCATTTCCCGAGGGTGGGAACGCGCTGAAGGCAAGTGGAGAGGAGCGAAGAGCAGAGGATGGAGGGCAGGACCTGCAGGGCAAGGAAAAGGCTTAGCCTAGAAAACAGGGATGTGTTGCACCTTCCCAAGGAGGACGGGGCTGGCTTGTTCTCTGTGTTCCCATTCCCGAGGGATCCGAGGCGAGGGAGAGAAGTTAATTTGCTCAGGAGATTGAGGTTAAGCGTGAGGAGGGACGTCGGGGGTGGTTTTTCAGGAACATCTGCCAGCTCTGCTGTCAGGGGAGTGAAGTAGGTCACCCTTCAAGGTCCCTTCCCAGCCCTCCATCGGGCTGGGACCGACCCCATTTAGGGCTGGGAACGTGACTGGGCTGTCCCTGAGTCACAGCAGGGTGGTGGCACCGCTCCTGAAATCCGTGGGCAGCCGAGCGGGAAACGGCGCCGGAGCTGCCGCTCCGTCGGGCTCAGCTCCCTCTGCTCCCTCACAGGCAAAGCTCACCTCAAAAAAGCCATCATGAAGCACGAGGAGGCCATGAGGATCCATGGATTGTGCAAGATCCTAAGGAAGATGGATATCCTGCAGGAGGTCCTGTCCTTCGCCCACAAACGCTCCCTGAGCAAATATTCCGAGATCGACCACGAGGAGGATTTCTTTGAGACGGGAGAGGCTCCGGACATCCATCGTGAGTGGGGGTTTTTTGGGATTGTGGGTGAGGAGGGGGTTTTTGGGTGGGAAGGACTCCATGGGGAATTGTGCTGTGGAGGGGGGTTGGCCTGGATGATCTCTGAGTTCCAATCTGAACTATTCCAGGATTTTAGGTCCTGGCTCTTGTGGGATCATGCTGTCCCTCTTCAGGATGGCAGCAGCTGCCCCAACTGCCTGAGGTCACCCCCTGTCTGTGCTTTTCTCTCCCTCCCATCAGCCAAAACTCACCAGAAACCCGAAATCAAATCCCCCAACTTCTCCCAGGTGAAGGTGACTGACCTCTTCCACAGGCTGGTACGTACAGCTCCAGGAACGGGAATATCCCGAGGGAGCGGCCGTCTCCTCCTCCTCCCCTGCATGCTCTGCTTGCCTGGATTCCTTCCTCCTGCAGCCTCTTCTCCCTGTCTCCAGCAGTTTTGCAAGGAGGAGCAGCAGGAGGAGGGCTGGGATCTGTGTCTGTGACACAAATGGGTCACAAAGCTCCTCTGGTGACAGGGGAGCAGGCACGGGAATTTTGGGTGGGCTTTTCCCAGGAGATCCTTGGGAAGAAGAGTTTTGGTGGCAGGAGGCACCAGGAAAATCCCACTGGAACTTTATCTATGCCCTCTTTAGGTTTTTAGGGTCCTGGGATTCAGGACAGTGGTGGGATCTGTGGTGGGATCATCCCCTGAGTACCCCAGGGAGAGCTTGTGCATCTCAGCCCCAGGGCGGGCAGGAATATCCTGTTCCTGTAGGAATGGAAAAGCAGAAAAAGAGGGGAAAATGGGAAAGAATTGGGGAAAAGTGACCCTGAGCTAGTGAACTGTCCCTCCACCCTGCTCCTGGACCAACCCCTAGTGGCATCCCCCAGATCCAGACAGCCTCAGCCCCCATCATTTGTTCCTGGATGAAGGGACTATTTTCCCTGCAAAAGACAGGATTTCTTCCTCTGCCCCCTCCCCATCCCTGGAATTGGTTTTTTTTACAAGGCTGCACAATTCCAGGGAGCTGAGAAGGTGCATTCCATGTTTCTGCCTCATCCCAGGGCCCGCTGTCCGTGTTCTCAGCCAAGAACAAGTGGTATCCAGCTCGGAGAGTCCACCTGATGAGAGGAGAGAACGGCTTTGGGTTCACCCTGCGAGGAGACTCCCCCGTCCTCATTGCCGGGGTCATCCCGGGGGGCTGCGCTGCTGTGAGTACCCCAATTTCTTGCTATTCCCATGGGAATGCCACAAGGGAGCTGCCTGGAGGGATTCCAGGTGTTTTTTAGGTCTTAAAACGGTTCAGGAGGAGACTCATCCCTGCTGGAGCTCAGGTGGGCGTCATGAAATGATTAATTTTTAGGAGATAGCTAAGGAGAAAACATGGAATTTTGCTCAGTTTTTAACTGTTAGAAGCCCATTCAGCTCCCTTGTCCCTCATGTTGGGATGTGACAGTGGCTGGAACAAGATGGCACATCCAAAAAACAGGGGCAGCTTTGTTTTCCATCAGAAGATGCTGGAGAATCCTGGTGAGATTTCCTAAGGGTCTCTCTGCTCCACTCCCAACCCATCCATCCAAGTCCCAGCATCTCTGCAACAACACTCTCCTTAGCAGCAGGATCATATCCCTCTTTGGAAAACCCAAATCTCCCCAAAGACTGGGATGTGGACTGGATATGGTCGATATCTGGAGCAGAGTTGTGTCTTCTCCTCAGCCTGGAGAAGGGAAGGTTCCAGGGAGAGCTTGGAGCCCCTTCCAGTGTCCAAAGGGGATCCAGGAGAGCTGGAAAGGGACTTGGGACAAAGGATGGAGTGCCAGGATGAGAAGAAATGGCTTCCCACTGCCAGAGGGCAGGGTTAGATGAGTATTGGGAAGAAATTCTTGGATGTGAGGGTGGTGAGGCCCTGGCAGATGTTGCCCAGAGAAGCTGCGGCTACTCCATCCCTGGAAGTGTCCAAGAAGCTACCTGGGATGATGGGAAGTCCGTGGTGGGACTGGACAATCTTGAAGGTCCTTTCCAAACCATTCCAAGATTCTCTTGGACGTTTTCCCTCATTCCCTGCAGGAAGCTGGGCTGAAGGAGGGGGACTACATCATCTCAGTGAATGGCAAGGACTGCAAGTGGTCCAAGCACGCCGAGGTTGTCCAGCTCCTGAAGAGCACCGGGAAGGAGGGGGTGGACATTGGAGTCATCACCCTGCAGGGCTCGGAATGTCCCAAAGCCGTAAGTCACATCCCACAGGGATTCATTCCTTGGAGCTCTCTGGGTGCTGCCCTGGCTTCACTCCCCTCTCCACCTTTCCCAAGCAGGTGGACAGGAAGGCAGCAGTGATGTCCTCGGGGTCTGGGATGCTGAAGAGCAACAAGGAGAACAGCAGGAAGAGCCTGATGAACAGCAAGAGCGCCAGCACGCTGCTGGTGTGGAGCAAGAAGAGCAAGAGGAGCAAGAAGAGCACCTACAGCGGTGTCCCCTTCACCGCCGTGGGGGACAACGAGGCCATGTACTGACCGTGCTCCATGGTGTCCCCTGAGCTCCAGGACTGGCTGCCTGCCCGGGAAGCTTCCCAAGCCTGGCTGGGCTGTGAGGACTCCCAGACCCGGGAATGCGCCGCTGGTCGGATCCGCGCCGAGAGGTGAGCGAGGCACCTCCACCTCCCAGCTCCTGTGTCCAATGATCCCCTCAGTCTGGGGGGAAACTCGGGTTTATTGTTAATTTTGGGATGATTTTTTTTTGTTTTCAAGGGGGTTGGGGGAAGCTGTGCTAAAGCAGGGCCCGGTTTGTGTCTTCTGCTTGGCCAAAGCCAGCCCCAGCCATTAAAGCAAAAGTGTCACCTTCTGTAGCATCTCCTGGGCTTTCTCTGCAAGGTACAAGATGGAGCTGCTCTCCAAGAGCTGCTGGAGGAGCTGAATCCTTCAGATGAATCCTCCCAGACTCCCATTTTTTGGGAGAGGAGACAGCACAGGCATCGATAACTTGTGGTGATCCCATCACAGGGTCCAACCCGGGCCTCATCTCCCAGGTGGGGCTATCCCAGCAAAGCGGGATGGTTTGATCATTTTTAGTGCTTCTGGGGTGGTTTTATTTTGCGGGAATGAACCCCCACCTTGACTCAGAAAATCCAACCCAGCTGCCCAGCCAGATTCTTTGGAAGAAAAGAGAAGGGCTTAACGTGCAGTTGTTGTCTGGCTTTTTAAATCAGGAGACGTGGATTGCCCTAAATATTCTGTGAGGAGATTAATAGCTAAGAGCCTTGGGGGGGGTTTATTTTTCCTGGGAGGAGATTAAAATTCCAGGAAGATATCTCCTCCAGATTATTAAACTCCTAAATTTGTGCTGCTGTTGGATCTTGCACATGTTGCTAATTCCCTAACACTGCTGTCAGCATTCCTGGGCTGGCCTGATGGATCCAGGCATCTTGGTAATTGTCCTGGAAATGCTGGGAGACTCTGAATCCACAAAACAGATTGGCAAAATGTCCTCCATCCTGTTTCTGCCTGTTATTTTTTCTGAGGGCTGAGGAGCTGTCTGGTTTTCAGTGCTTGGATCATCTTGGGAGGTAAAAAATTCCCTTGGGAGAGATGAAATTGTATTTTTGTACTTTTCAAGGAATTTTTAGGGGTGGTTTAAAGGAGCGATGGGATCTTGTGGCCACAGTATCCCCTGGGATTGTGACTTCTTCTAGTGGCTCCTTGTCCATTTTCCAAGCTCTTAACCCTGATTCTATTTAAGGAAAACTTCCAGGAAAAAAAGCCAGGTTGGACGGGGTTGGAGCAACCTGGGATGATGGAAGTTGTCCCATGGCAGGGGCTGGAACAGAATGGGCTTTAAGATCCCATCCAAGCCAACCCATGCTGGGATTTTATGAGCTCAAGGAGAGGTTCTTATCTCTGCTGTTGTCCAAGAGGCCTCTCCATATCCTGAGGCATCACCACACCGGATTCCGGATCCGCCTTCCAGCGCAGGGCCATCTGTAGCAGCCGGGCTTCCCAGCTTCCCACGTCATCTTCCCGGCTGCTCGGCGTGGGAGCGGGAAGGGAAGGAGGGGGTGGGGTCACAGAAAAGGCCACCTTGCCCTTAAAGCATCCCAGCAGCATCTTCCCACCACCCTAAAAACGTGGGATGCCGCATGGACGTCCCCGAGCTGGAGAGGGATTGATTTAGGAGAAGCCGTCGCCTTCCGCCCGCATCACCCAACCCCGGCGTTGGCAAAGGGGTTGAGTTTTGTGGGATTGGGATAATTTCCCTAATTCCAGGGTTTTATGTCGGGCTTGTTTTGGGTTTTTGGTTTTTTGTTGGTTTATTTTTTTTTTAATTTGTACATGAATTCTCACCTTTTATGGATTAAAAAGCACTGATTCAAATCCAATATGTAGCATTTTTGTTGGGAATTACAGGTGCACCACCCATAATGGGAAACAAGCCCTGGCTGATCCTCCTAAAGAGTCAATTTTGGGTCATTTTTACACAAATCTGGAGCTGTTGGGGTTGGGAGAAATCCTTTGGATCCAGCATGGGCTGCTCCAAGGAAAAGTCCCAGGTATCCAAATTAAATTTGCTGAGCTGTGGTCTCCATCTCCAGGGGGATGCAATGGGAGATGGTGGCTTTGTCACGTGAATTCATGGAAATTATATGGGAAGTGGAGTGTGGGGCTCAGGTTGGACCCTTTGGGGGCTTTTCCCCTGCAGAAAAAAAAGGGAATTGGTCAAGAAAGTAATTTTTACTTCACACAGCAAGTTTTAAACTGCTTTTTTGGTTCCATAAAGGATTTCTGATCCCTTTTTTTTTGCAAAGTTCATCAATTGGAATTTAGGCTGGAAAGCTGCAAATCCTTAGCATGGGACTCCCTATTTTCCCTTGGGACCTGGACACCACCTCCCCACCATCCTGGGAGCATGACCAAACCCATGGATTTGGGGCTGGATTATGGGAATATGCATCCCACAGGAGAAAGGTGGGTTTAAAGCCCCTTAAATGTGAAAAAAACAAGGCCAGAAATTTCAAAATCAGATTTATTTATGGAATGTGGTGGGAGCTTTTTTTGTCCTGTCTACCAAGCCAGGGTTAAAACAGCATCCAGCTTTTTTTGGGGGGGACATAATTTTGGAATTGAAGGAGTTTCCCCTTCCATCAGCCCTCCTGTGCCAGGTTTTAGAAGCCACCCACACTGAAGTCGTTGTGCTGCTGAAGATCCTTTTGCCACCCACGTCCAGTGGATGTGGGAAACTCGTGACTCCGGAGCTGGCATCGCCTCCCCCTCTGGTGTCGTGTGCTCAGATGGGATCTGTGCTCCATCAGCAAGAGCCTGCTGCTCCTTCCCTCTTTCCTGAAATCCATGGAGCTGGATCTGTCCATGCCTGTCTTCTCCAGCTTGACCAGGAAGCAGAGGGGTCCTGTTGGGTAAAATGTGGTCAAAACCACAAAAAATAGGGAAAAAATAACTTTACATTTACCAAGAAATTGAGGTCTCTCTGTCCATGCAGAGAGGAGCTCCAGGAAATCAGCAAACAAGGAATGTTTGGATATCCTGGACTGGGACCAGTTCATGCAGCTCTTATGACCAGACAGGAGATGGAAAGAGGATTTTGGGGATTTTTTAAATCACAGATGATTTCCAGGGCCTTTGAGTCAGAAAACAGCCTGAAAATCCCATCCTGGAAAACCACAGGGATTCACCCAAATTTCCTGATTTTCCTCCTCTTTAAGCTTCACCTTCCATAATTAAAATCTCCCAGCCCATTGAGCAGCCCTTCCAGCCTGGTGGGAAGGGGATTTGATTCTTTCCTTCATTAATGGCACAAGACAAGAGGAGAAGGTCCCTGTGTTGTCCTTGTCCCTTCACATCCCACTGACACCGTGACCCACAGAGGCTCCTCTGGAGCTGTCACTGGCTCCAAATCCCTGCTCCTGCTTTTCCCTGGAGATAACAGAGGGAAAAGAGCAAAAGAGGGTTGATGTGGGTTGGTGGTGGGACACTGGAGCCGAGCCAGGTGCTCTCACTGCTAATAAATCTAATAAATTTGGAATTTTTTAGAGGCATCAGGGACTGGAGCTGCCTCCAACCACTCCTGGTCCAGGAGCAGAGGGATGGGGCAGAGCAGGATTTCTCCTGCTCCTGGATTTCTCCGTGGGATCATCCTTGGTCTGGCGCCTGCTCCACCCCATGGGAAGGGACATCCTCAGCCCCACCCCTGCCTTCCCAAGCGTCTGTATGGAATTCCAGGCTCCTCTCCAGCCTGAGCCCACTGGAGGGCAGCAGCAGCCTGTGCAATGCGCCCACTGCCCACAGCCCCCCCAAATCTGCCCAGCCGGGCACCCCCCACCCACGCTGGCACCCCAGGCTGGGCACGAGTGTCCCTGGGGTGCTCTGGACTCCAGTACATCCCAAAAAATGGGGGGGGGTTGTCCCTATATCCTGAAAAATCCTTCTGGGAAAAGCGTGCAAGGAGTGAAACTGAGCATTTGCAGTGCAGCTACACCCTGAGCTCGCAGCAAACCCCATCCCATGAAGGGCTGGAATTTTCCTGGAAGCAGTGGGAGCCCCACCCTGCTCCTAAAAGCTGGAGCGTTCATCCCTCATCCCCCTGAGAGGGAATTGCTCCCCTGGGCTGATCCCAAAAGCTTTGCCGAGGTGCTCTCTGAGATTTCCGAGGTCAATTCTTGGTCTGAGGTCCCCTTTTGGACCAAGTCCCCTCCTGTCCCTGTCCCCCCAACACCTCAGAAGTACAAAATCCCTTCTGTGTCACCTCAGGTGGCAGCAAACACCGAGAAGTTCATCAGGCCACCAAGAGGGGCTTCACCAGGGGGGTGTGAAGCCACCAGAGCCACCAGGGCTGGGGGACTGGGACCTGCAGGGGTGACACCAGCAAGTTCAGGAGTGTCAATAGGACCTGCAGGGGGTGACACCAGCAGGTTCAGGAGTGGTGATGGGACCTGCAGGGGTGACACCAGCAGGTTCAGGAGTGTCAATAGGACCTGCAGGGGGTGACACCAGCAGGTTCAGGAGTGGTGATGGCGCCTGGTGGAGCTGCACTAGAGGGCAGAGCTGGGACACGCTGGATCGTGTTCTCCACATCCCTTCATCACCCTGAGCCACCTCAGTCCTAAATTGTCACATGTGGGACCCAGGTGTAGCTCCAAGTCCTCTGGCCACCCTTGGGTGTCACATAGATGGAGGCTCAGGTGCACCCAAGGGTGCTCAGCTCCAAAAATTGGGATTGGGGTGGCAGAGGGACAGCAGGGACCTGCCTGTCCCCATCATCCCACATCCTTAGCTGCCTCCTATAGGGAACAAAAGCTGGGATGGGGATAGCCCCTTATCCCATCCCATGTGTGATCCATGAGGAGTGCTTGACCAGCTTCTCATGCATGGGAACTCGGGGATAACCTGGGAATAACATCCCATCCCGTCCCGTCCCATCCCGTCCCGTCCCATCCCATCCCATCCCATCCCAATCATTCCCATGGACAGGAACAAGTGTCTCCCATATGGAAGCAGGTTACACCTGGCCCAGGTGGAACTGGGCTGGCAGCAAGACAGGGATGGAGAAGGGAATCTCCTTGGATCCCTGTTTTCTGTAGGATATTGGTGGCTTTGAAGGGTCTGTGCTCTGTATTCTAAAAGAGGAGGGAGGATGGTCATGGAATGGGGAAATGGGGGATTGTGGTGGGAAGGAGGGAATTTTAGGGGCCTAGAAGTCAGTGGGGACCATGTCATGGCTCAGAAAGAGCTAGGTGATGTCATCTCGCTCTGCAGGGCCAGATCAGAGAATCATGGAATGGTTTGGGTTGGGATCCATCCCATTCCAACCCCTTCCATGGACAGGGACACCTTGCC